TGTGCAATACGTATTTTTTGAACCGACGTTGGATTCGTTGATCAAGACAACTATCGGATATAGACATTGAAATACTACTCATTACCCCAATCTTAATAAAATAAAATGTGTTGCACGGCGCGTCCCCCCCATAATTCCGTATTTACGAGGTTTTTGCTACTTGGTATTTTTTATTCATTTTTTATTACGTACGCTTTATTTTAACTACCAGACTTTCGTAATTACAAAAAATGAGAACCAAAATTATTGTAATTAGTTTGTTATTTTCCATACAATTTGTAGGAATTGTATATGGTGTGTTTTCTCACGAGATATTCGTTACCAATATGTAGGTTCCGCAACGTAGTAGAAACATACTTCAAACATTAAAAGCGTGTTTTTTTAGTAGAAATACACAACCACGGTAAATTATCACAGGTGCATTAGTTATTGAGAGTGGATTTATGAGATTAATTGTGATTCTACGATTTGAGCCACCATTCTACATCCGATTCTCATCAAGCGCCACCACAGTCCTCTAAGCGAGGAATATGCATTCCTTTTCAGTATCAACGAAGAGACAGAGGGCGCCGACACAACAAGCCCGAACAAAATACGATGGGTAATAATAAATAAACCAACTGCACGGAGTTGTAGAAAGTATGCCGTTAAATGATATGAATTATCACCAGGCGATTTAAAACTTCGAGGGAGAGCGATACAACATAACTCATACCGCTATCACATTTGACAGCAGCGACCCCCACATGGCGATTGTATGTTATCAGCACTCTTCCATTTAAAAGATACTAGCTGTTGTGATTGCACACGCGTGAGGCTAGAAATACATTTCATTCGTGTGCTATAAAAATATTAACAAATCACGGAGGTCAGCGTAATGTCACCCACGAGACTCATTAGTCATCGTCTTGATGATAAAGCCGCTCACAGTTATAGAATCAAACATGAAATAGTACATCGGGCGCTTAAACGCAACGTAATGTAAATTGCACTAAAGATGACATGCTGTGATCGTACTCGATTGCAAGATATGCTCTAGTATACATAGAACAGCGAATACTGTTTTAGCGTTAAACCACAATGTGGACAGGATGCACAATACAGAGTTGCGTAAAGCTTTTAAACTCATTCTATATTTTGTATTTATTCAAATGAAGTTCACATTTAAATGTATATGTTAGTGTTTTCTTGTTGTTAATACTCTCGTCATTTATACTGATAGATTTCTTATAGTTTGTCTTCGATAATTCACTAATATTATTAATATAGGGCAGATCAGACTTAAACCTGTACAATATGTTAAACAAACTCGTGCCTAATATTCAATTTTTGGTCTATGCAACATCCAAACCCTTCTTCTAAAATTAAATTAATTCTATTCGTACATGATAACCGTTAGTAATATCTAATAGCCTGAGTATTAATGTCGACCTTAGTTGAATAACGGACAAGTTTACACCTTCAAGCATCGTTAGATGTGTTGTTATGAACTCCGATTGCTCGTTTAAAAATTGTAATTAAGGTTGTAATAATTATACTGATGATAGATGATTTTATATTAAAACTACTCTATGTGTGTCTTACCAAAAAGTAAAATTAGTTTGACCATTTAAAGCGGAAGGGTCGTCACCTGCGCACGCGTGGGAATTGAGTTCCAAGCGACGACAACAACACACGCTAAAAACGCAAAGGCTCATGGGTCGACGCTTGTTTCTAAACAATGACTCATTGCTAGTTTGACAGAGTACTCACTCAATTGTCCCATGGCATCTTGTACGTTTTTGGATATTTTCTTTCGAGCTATTTTATAAAAACCATGTTAATTTTAATGAGTTAAATTTTCGTTAGAATAAAAATAATACCAAAATAGTTAAATGAATCAACACGTTACAGTTTAATCAAACAAAATTTATCGTCTTTAGGGAATCCAACTAATAGACAATAATACGTTTCGTTTTTGAAATTATGAGATGAACTTTAGCGAATTCCAAGCTGTTCCTGACAGTCTATTATTAAATTCACTAACTTTATCAGCGTTCTCGTAATAACTGGGCTGGGCATTGTTTTCAATGTGTTACAGTGAGTTGTTTTTATTATATAGACATGCGCAGATTTAAACACAAATTATCGTCTTATCTGTAAATGTGCAAAGACCTTTAAGTCTCGTTGGATTCGAATTAAACTCACAAACGATAAACTATATCACGACCGTCCATTTATATAATTAAATTGACGAGACCAAAGAATACATGAAGATGGATATCTTTTATCACGTTTTACTTCAAGGCGATGACGTCATAATTACTATTGTGGTGACAATCGAATATATATGACATACTAGGGACACACATAAACAATAATACATTCGATATATCAATGTCATTCAGTAGACTACACGGCGCCTAATTATGTGTATAATTATGCTAATCAATGGTATGATAACATGGAGGTAGAAAAAAATATAGATAAATCAATGTTTCCATAGTTAAATGTGAAACTATTGTATGCGTAAAACTATCCATGAATTCGGTACCCGCGGCATTAGTTTCACGCCGGTTATCGTGGAACTCACGGAAGCGAGGAGTCCTGGGTACGAGGAAGGTGTCGTACTCACATCGGTGAACAGAGGGTCTAACTTGTCGTGTTCAATTAGTCAGCGTATCCTCGGAATCACGGATATACACATAGTAGTCTCACGGACAGAAATGCACAATTTTCATATTATTTCCACTGTAATTAATTAAAATAGAAATGCCATTATCGTAAAATTATCACAATATTTAGTTGAATTATAACGGCCCGTTTAAGTTGGTATCCAGAATCCCTTATTAATATATACAATAAACCATCTGGTTGAGACAAATAAGATTTCACTCGAACAGCAGAATATTTATTTCAAATTATGCGATGTAGTCCCATGCTTAAAACTGAGATATGTTATCCCCGGGCACTATTATGATTATTAATATTATGAGAATTAATAAATAATAGTTGGCGGAATAATAAACGTTTAAAAAATCGTCAAAATACGAGTAATACGTGAATGGGTAGATCTCATCAGCTGAACAAATATTCAAAAATACTCAGGTATTGAAAAAGTATTGTTCTCCTGAATCTGAAAAAAATTACGATACAAAAGTTCATTTCTGACGTCTTCGGTGACGTTATTGCTACTTTAACAAACAGGGTTTCCCCTTGGCCTCATCTGGACGTATAGTTGTGTATTACCGATTCAATGACGTTTGCACAGTCACGCCTAGCCTGAAGCACAGTGCAACTCTAAAAGATACGTTATCAACGTAACAAAGATAATATATTGATGTAAGAGTTGTCTAGAAAGGCATATATTGATTGAATTATTTCTGTCAGCGTAGAATATCAATACCTCTGCTCCCTCTTTGAAAATAGACAAAATAAGACGTTGACATCGATAATCATATATATACAATATATATCTAGAGAGAGAGAGAGAGAAAGAGAGAGAGAGAGAGAGAGATAATAAACACAATTTACTAAATTATACAAAATACACATCATGATATAATCATGTTGCAGTGGATTACCTCTTACGTCACGTATTTGCAAACTGATAGTGTGTAATTCATCTTCTATTATATTATTTGTTGATCAATCGCAAATAAGTTTATACATCTGAAATTTTGACAAACGTGTTTTCAATACCAAAACATTTGTATTCAATGTTGACTATGTTCTGACATTTACACATACAAAAAAACAATGTTTGTGTTGACTTTCACCTTATTCACTGTGATGAACGGAATCTCACTTCTAATCCCTCAACGGGTTTGTATATCAGATAACAACGGTGTGTTGTGTGTACGGATATCAGTTGATTTTGTACATTCTACTGATAATGTATATTTATTTTTGTTTACGTCACACTTATACGGGTTCGGGTGACGTACTCGGACGAAATACCACGTGACACCAAAACCAACAAATGGTCTATTTAATTTGAACATTTTGGAGACTGTACCGATTTCACTTCATTGTCGCGAATTTCATTAAATTATCATTAATGACATCGTTACAATTATTCGAATATTACATTATCCAGGAGTGAAAATTGTTATCACAGAGAAACTTATCCGCAATTTAACACACGGGAAGGTCATACTTGATTATAATGATGAATTTAAGCTGCATATTCGAACGATATCATTGTATATACCGATGTCTTCATCGTGATAGAAGAAATTGCCCTCTTTCGTCAACGTCACTAGATGCTGACGAAGCTTTTGATAGATGTTCTCCGAGGGAATTCTGTAAAGAGGTCGTAATCGCCAAATAGCGTGACCAACGCGAAGGCGCGGGTACAATAACCGACTAATCTCCTGGTATCGGTTATAAATAAACTCAACATGAGGTTATAGTCATTGGCGTTTTACACAACTAAATGAGGAACACGTACACCAACTTTTATTTTATTTGACGGCTACTATCTGTCTCTTATTGAGTACGACTGAAACTATTAATAGTGGTTGTCATGGAAACATACACCACCTGACACTTGCCTATTAAAGTATGCCGCCACCTACGCCGCCACCACCCGTTTGTAAATGGAATGGTCGGTGAGAAAAGTTCACTCGACGATCCTCGATGTATTTTACACTGTCTCGACAATATACAAAGCGTACTAAGATTGACAAAAGGCAGCCAATGAAATCAAGACAAACGCATTAAAATAGAAAAGACCCATGACCTGATTACTTAGATGGAATCATTTCAGCTACATAACTAGCTTCGACGTAGTATATGCTACTGGCATACCAGGGTAGTCGTCACAGCAAGTCTAAATAGTCACGCGTAAAGGCCAGAATAGCGATACACTTGATAACGTCTACTGTTGTTGTCATAGGAAGATTGTCTGCAAGACCGGCAACTTGGAAACGGGTGTTGCTAGCGTTTAGCGTATGACTCTTACTGAAGACTCCAGTACTACCTATGTACGTAGATATACGTATCATTCGACAAGTGTTTGGTATAACAACGCCGACGCAAGACAATGGCAAGTAGGTGAGTGCCCCACAAATCAGGTTAATAACGCCACTCTATCGGTGACACACACACAGAGCGTGACGCACTACTGTGCAAAATTACGAGTTTATATTACAGGTGTGCACTTGGATTTCAGTTTATTTAACGTGTAAGTGTACAGCCACGTTCGTGTATAAGTTCACATGTGTGTTACCGTGTGGTTCAGATCTCAAAGGACGTAACCGTTTCCGAAGGTAAGCCATCGAGACTGTAAACTTTGTACCCTAACAACCGTCTTGGCTTTGTACGCACGAGTAGCCATTGTAGTTCATATATCTTTCGCTATACGTACATACAGTACAGGCATTTCACACCCATTGCACCAGTTCGCGTGTATTAAATATTTCGAGTTCAGATGGTGGTTAATGGCCAGTGCCCAGCCGCATTTTAATGACGCGGGATCAGTCAGGATGCGTGGTCCGGCGCTAAAACCCCGACTGAAAACCGACAACGGGCGCAACTCAGATAACTCAAACACGGGGGTTATGACAGTGGTTGGCTGGGACCTGCCGTAAAAAACAACGATTCAATAACCATTATCCATGTAATTAGAAATACCACCCGTGTTCTAATCTGTGGGCGTAAAATGTTAATTAACCACGGAACTTTCACCTAGGGCATTATACAATTCATTTACTGTGCCCAGATAGTGTATTATTAATTGTCAGTTGTTAAAGGAGCATCAACCACGCAAAGTTAGTCACTAATCACAATACAACTTCTCCCATGTACCTGCATGGGTTAGTTACCAGTAATGGTCGCCGATTCAGGACAATTAGTCTTCAAGTCAAGTTTGAAGATTTGTTGTTTTCAACTTGATCTCATCATGATGAATAATGCCCAATACCTGAACTCCCATTAGGCTTCACAATCCCACCTCAATGGCCTTGAGACCCACGTAACCCCATTGTCATGGGCATCGTTGTTATAGTGTAATTGTGTCCACACACAACAGTATCGTATGTGTACCCAATCACCATAAACTTCCCCTCCCAATGCTGTGATTTTCCTCCCTAGGAAAGAAAGGTTGTTTTCGTACATTGTATTTTGGCAGTCGTTTCATGCTCAATGTACACGCCCCGGTGAAGATCAAATGAATTTGTAACACAATTCTTGTTTTCCCCGGCTCACTTGTGCCTATAGTAATTCCCCTAGAGTGTTTATTTGACCAACATGCGACTTGTTTGGCCACTGTTCCCCTAGTTTGGTTTGTACTACTACAGATAGCAGACGATCTGCGGCAGACGTAAAACAGCTTCTATGGTATAATTTAGGCAATTTATGTTTCAAATAAATGTACCGTTGACATGTCACTTGCCTTTAAAATTGAACGGACAAATAACATACGTACCACGTCCAGGCGCATACAAAACATGTGACTGTATTGTAACTAAAAAAGTCAACATTTGGACTTCTGTAACTACATATATAATTGTGACAGTATGTGTTTCACGAGCTACGTCATTATACCTTATAAAATAAACTGTCGTATCCTAGCCACGTGGTGTGGTCCTTTAATTGCAATCCTAAAACCCTTTTCCCAGTCAGTTTTCGTAATTAGAATCCTCTTTTAGCCAATTTTGCGAATTAAAGTGTATACAGCTTTGTTAATGTATGATGTTGTGTATTTTAAGCCGTTTGTATGGGTTGAATATCGCTCCTTGGCGTTTTTATTCGTGTTTTTATATGTATGATTTTATCATGTATGCTGAAATTGTGGACCTTTTTCTGGACTCGTATATTTGAGTGACTTTGGTTCAGAAAAGATCCCATCTGGCGGTATATATTTATACATTTTTTTTTCCAATAGATGTATTCCGGGTTTTCCTGGGAGCATTTTATGATACGAAGTTCCATTATGAAAGTAAAAAAAAAAACAATATTTCTGTGTTGATCAATATAAACTTTTCTCAATAAAAAACGGAACACATTCAACATATTACCATGGAATCGCTTAACCTGTCCCATTGTATGATTTTATCGAATAGTATCCGAAATCGTATTATTTCGTGAATTTTATCGACCCTTTGGCCCATATATTAAATATCCCATTCCGTGTTTAGTTCACACATAATTCAAAATAAAGTTCTCTGGAAATATATACCTTGTATCACCCAAGTACTAGCTTATACTGAACTATGCTTAAAATTCGTGTAAGGACTCGAATAACCGATACGCGAAAACTGCCAGTGATTCTTGTTACATAGGTCAGATAATTATACAAAGGTCAGGGGAACAAGTATAGTTGTTATTGCTCAGTGTAACGTGGACCCATTTTATACCAGACGTTCAAAGAATATCTTTATCATTAACTAACTAGATCACTAATATCGTAGGTATATCGTAGCTATATCGCGTTTTTTAATCTTCAAGGAAAAAATATTATTTTAAAAAAATACAGTACTTAGATGAAGCTAAGTGTAGATGAATGTTAATAAAAATAGTCAAATAGGATGTTTTCTACCAATGTTACGCTCGATATGCACGCGCAATGAGCACTGAGTAGGAATACAACTTGCGCACTACATTTCCTCCACGTTATATTTGCGCAGTTGCCGGGGATTTCTGAACCAGTTCGGCCAAGAATGTGTTGGCTAATTGTCATTTGCGAGTATGTATGGAACCATTTTCGACATGGAACTGACCTCTGGATCCGCTGCTTTTTTATTCTAAGACATGAATTTAAACGAATATTATTTGTTTAGCTTCCCGCTAGTTCACAGTTTTGTAATGATCATAAGAAGCGTGTGGGGAAATGGAAAAAGTTAATCAAACAAACTGAACCAAATTCCTGTTTCCGTGGACATGACGGTTTCTCCCCGAGAGTTTAGTATATTATGTATGACACAATTGTAAGCACTATGTATTAAGTGTTGCACTGTCCCATTTGAACGGCCCAGTATAACACAGTCACCCTATTCTCAAGATAGTACGCGTATCACCGATTATTCACAGAATGTGAACATTATTCGGCTTTCACTAGCAGCGGCTGATAAGGCACAATCGTCCCTAGTAATAGTCCCCCCGCCTTTGAATGCGTAATCTTTGACTAGTAGAGACCCTGAATCTGTATAATGGATACCTGAAAACTTCCTTATCAATTAGAGTGGGGTATTTCCCCCGTGAGAAAGCTATTTTTATATATAGAGAATATATAGATAAAATTAGAAAATAATTATGCAATGTTATGTGGGGGGTTATACCCACATGAAACGTATACTTCGCAAAATAGCGACCACAGTATTTTGAAGTGTTAATTCTTTGTTAAGCGCAGACTTATATTATTATTATTATTATTATAATCATTAAATAAACAGTTGTATTTTCGTAGCTAGCGCATGAAAAGTGTGACTGTGTCAACAACTGTGGTTGGCTACCGCATGTGAACTGTGACTGTGTCAATCGTGGTTGACGCTTCGCATAGTTATTCCAATAAAACGTCAGAAATTAGTAAGCGATCACAGATGCCAGAATACAATATAGATAACATGTACTTTACAAGCGTCTCCAGACTCGAGGCGTATATGCAATAGACACGCTATGCTGTCTTCGGCTGTGGAACGTTCGCCTGAGAAATCCCTCTGTACTATGCGAGCTACTGTTTCAGTGGAAGGCACGTACAAGCTCACATACTCCATGTATTGGTTTAATGTATGTATGCGCACAGGAATGTGTTTCATACAGTTATCGAACAGTGATCACAATCAGAAGCCCAGTGCTTAGTATCCATGGCAGCTTGATGTTTAATTTTACATGTGACGAGATGATTTGAAAAAAAAACAAAAAAAAAACTACTGTTAATATATTCTTTGAATGACGTCACTCTCGTCGTTTTCGTTGTAATGATCGGACCAACTCGAAGTCAAATCAAGTCGTTTTCCCTCAGTGTGAAACAGCGGCACGCGTATGGTTAGTAATCATTAAATAAACTGATGTATTTTCGTAACTACCATATGTGAAAAATCCTCCACGCGGCACGACTGTCACTTGATAGATGATGATGACGGATTGGAGGGAGGGGGGGGGGGGGTTGTTCGCATATTTCAGCTCACACCGTCGATTACGCTAGAAGAATCGCGTTGCCACAACAGTGCAAACAAACGTGTGTACGGGATTGCAATATAACACGTGTATACAGCTTTAAATTTTGATGCGTGGATTTGGAAATCCAATACTAATATACACTACTTACACAAGGACGTTTTTGATTTCCTTAGGGACGGAAGAGACCCCCATATGTGATGATGTACTGCTGGAGAATGACTTAGTGTCGATCCTTAATTTGATACGGCAATGGGTTCGACCAAAACTCGTGCTCATATGACATATGCTACGGAAATTACGGAAATTCACCTCAGGATTGATGCTAACACAAGCTTGCGCACGAATCGATCTGCAAAAAAGAAGAATTTTATTTCAACTAGGCTGTTGTGATATGCTAATGTCGTTCGGGTTTATTATATGACGATACAGGCACAGTTATCGTTCAATGGCTTATGTTTTAGTAGCTGCCCCGTCATAGAATACAACCTTTGTTTACGTTTTATTGTTCTGCAAGTTTTACGAACGGGAACATTTTATTTGTTTTTACGGTTTTCTCGACTTGTTCACAATTAAATTACATATAACGCCTCGAAACGTTTGCTATATGGGACAGTACAATTACAGTCGAATCAACCAAGAACGACGCTATCAGGTTTTTATTTGCTGTGAATAGCCACAGCGGCGTGAGTGGTCTGCCTGTTAGTAAAACTTGGGCAACTCCACAGTCCACAGTGGTCGTCGCACAGCGCGTGTTGAATTTTAATTAAACAAACAATGTAGTTTACACGAGATGTATACGTCGATATGAGTCTACGGAACAGGACCCGATGCGACGACGACCACCACTCTTTAAATGTCACCGCTGAGCGCGTTGCTGAATACACATTTCTTTCATTTATATATACGAATATTTTGACAGACGCATATTATCTTATGCGACTCTGAAAGAAATCCAAGTAAAGATGTTTCGTTTTTATGGCAACTAGGTAGCCTTTTTGTTTTTCAGTGTGTGTGTGTGTGGGGCAAAAGTGAGTCAATTTATCCATGTATCCGTGCGAGCTGTGTATGATAGAAATTGTTTTACAAAATTAGCTGATCGGACATGTTATGTGTTGGCTGATATTCAAAGTGAAGTTAGTTTTATTTGTACAAAAGACAGACCTTGAAAAAAACTAAAAATAGCGATGTGGAAGAACGGTTTTTGGTGATTTTTAAAGACTATTATCAACCACAGGTGTTTAATGTATACCCAGTAGATCCTTTCTAGACCCTATGGCTCATTAACGGGCCCCATTTGGCAGAACACTTCTATAATACTTTTAAATGGTCGCACTCAACTTCCTGTGGGCAAATTTAAGAATACTAATTAAGGATTAGACGCGTCGGCGTACCCATGACAACTCTGTGGTGATCTCTGGCAATGGATTGTAATTGTGACAGAAACGTTGGTGTATGTTGACTTATTCCATTTCATCTGAAAAGCACCGGCGTTACAAAGGCGATATCGGTGTTCTAAAAAAAAACAGTACATAGTAGAATATTTCTGTAGTGATTACAAAAACATTGCGCAATATATATAAAGAGAATGGCCAGATTGTGAGATTTTTTACTAAATAGTGTATTCTAATCCTTCAGGTTCCCGGCATTGACAGTCCTGTCGGCCATGATTGACTCTTGTTACCTCAACAAACACAAATAAGAACAATGTACAAACATAAAAGTATGAAAGAAACCAGCACGCAGGCTCATTCTGATAAGGTAGGTACATGTACTATTAGTGATGTGTAACAAAAGTATAGAAATCTAACATGACATGAAAACAACACCGCCACTTTACTAATAATGTCCTGAATGTGTCGACTCGATTATCCCGGGTAATAAGCAAGCAACTATTTCATTATAATAAACACATAATTACTCAATAGACCACGAATTGACGTAATGTAGACATGAAGATATGACGACTTCACGTGGCGCGACGTGACGTGACGTGCCGTAACATAACGTGACATACCATAACACGACGTACCATAGCGCGACATCATGTGATACCGGTAATATAACACAAGTA